GTCTTGTATATGTTTAAAATGCAGTCATTTTCCGGTGCAAATCATACTAAATTGGTTTTATTGTTTCATGGTATATGTAAATTAATTTAGTGCAAACATGCAAATTTTACCTCATCCTGACTCATACTAATTGCTTATCTCATCTCATTTCCTAATAGTAGTGGAAAATCAAGTGTTTGTGTCCCTCTTGAATAAGAAAAAAACACATCTCACCCCAACATTCCAAGCTGCGCATGTGCACCGGTTGCACGTGACCAAGCCTATGACTCAATTTACGATGATAATAAAATGCTAACTTGGTTGCCCATAACTTTCCCATCGATGAATCCTCCTCCTGAAGCAACTTTGCAAGTCAAGTCATCAATAACCAAAGCTACCAGAATGCAGGGTCTTCCCGCACCTCATGTCAACACTAAGAAGTTCGACAATGATCCACAGTCCGACAAAGAATGTATGCTTTTGTCCACCATGGTCAACCAGCAGAAGTACCAGGAGTCTATCTCCGACCAGATCAGATTAGCTCAGCATCGGCGGAACTCACCTTACTACGTAGACAAGAAAGTATTGGCCAAACTGGGACCTTCTGAAGGACCCATTCGTCACAAAAATCTTAAGGAATAGATATACCATTCCGGTGAACACGACGCCACCGCTCCAATCTATCTTCCGCAGATACATTATGCAGAAACCCTACAACCCAAGCTCACAGATGCGATAGAGTCACTTCTATCCAAAGAAGCAATAGAAGTTGTACCTCAAGAAGAGCTCGACCCGGGTTCTGCTCCCCAATTTTCTTTGTTCCCAAGAACAATTTATCAGAAACGTCCAGACTAATATGGAGAATTTCAACGATTACTCATTGAAGCCAGATAAGTTCAGAATTCTCCACCTTCTGCAGCTGAAGCAGATGATAATACAGAACACCTTTCTGGCAAGCATAGATTTAAGGGATGCATATCTGCATATGCCAATCCACCCAGGGTCCAGGAAGTATCTACGATTCCTGTTCAACCATCACAAATACCAGTGGAGGATTCTACAGTTTGGCTTTTTCATGGCCCGTGGTTACTCACACGGGTAACCAAGTCCATCGTAAGCTTCCTGCACAACAGGGTAATTAGATGCACCTTCTGCCTAGACAATATAACAAATGGGAATAATACCTTAGAACGTCGGTTACAAAACTGTATCAAACATACAAGTTGCATATTCGCAATTTTACATTCATATGCCGTATTTCTTTAAACGGTTTCAGCCATCTTAGAGAAAGAGTGAGTTCAGTTTTACGCCGCACTAGCAATATCCCAGCTATATAGCGGCGGTCTCTAAATAACCGAGTCTGGATCAGACAATCCAGTGATCAACAGCATAATCATCGATCTACCGAATTGGGATACGATGACATGTGTCAACCAAGTCAGCTAGACTGACCACCCGATCCCATTAGTCGCCTCTTACGACAAGCATGGGTTGTTGAAGATCAAATCTAACCCGTATCTTCACGGGTTCTTATGGAAAGAATGCAAACAATATACAATTGTTTTTAAATTAAGGTGAGGTCACGCTAAAATAAATTATCACTATCGCTAATACTAAATCTTCAAACATAACTTCAAGTATAATACTTGAATTTTCCAGGCGTTTTCCCAAACTCGTCCGTTTCCTTGGCGATCGTATTGAGTAATTTCAAATCTGACACATCTGCATCCTCAGCAAGATCGCCCGAAAGGCAAAATTTCCCATTCGTAGTGTCCTGACTAACGGAGTTTCGTTTGACACAAGCAGCTAGAGGTTATTTTCTAAAATATACTTGATTCTCTCCATAAAGCACAACCTGCTCAGGCCTACTGGATAAGAGTTGAAACGTGAGCACGCTCGTAAAGCAGCTAAGCCAATAAACACAGCTTACCTGAAGGCACCATTAAAGTCGGCCATGTTCGACCCTTCTTTGACATGTCCTCTGTGTAGGACACAGCTGGTAATTCTAGTCGATCACGTGACTGTGATCGTGTAACATGGTTCTAATCAACTTCGAACCCCCGATCATCAACTCTTCAGACCTGATTCGTAGCCTTCAACGAGAATGTGTTTCACTGGCTTCCGTCAGTGAAAAATAATTGTCGAAAAACAGTCACTTTCTTTTACCAGGGAGACGTCGTTATGGATAAACTATGTGATAACGTTGCTTCATATATAAACGGAATCCACTGGTGGTTGACATATATACTGGTTATGTCATCAATGGGCGTCGTTTGAAGTGATGTTTTAACGAGCGGAGACCCGTTCAGGACCTCACTTCTTCCGTCGGTATTGGCATCCGATTTATAAAATAGTGCCAATTTTAGAGTATAACAGACAAATAATGTAAATTAACACTACAAGGGGTCTGAAAAGGATATACTCGTACTCGATCTTAGTGTGATGAAACGACGAAGCTCTAAAGGTTCTAACAAACTAGTACGGCATTCGGTAGATCGTAGGAATATATGTATTTATGCCATGATCAAAACTCCGCCATGTTTAAAACTGAAATCACAGACTGACATCGACTAGTCAACGTGCACCATGTGTAATCGGTAAAGAAAGACACTAATATGCAATAGTGTTACCAGAATATGTTATTGAGTCAACAGTTAAGTATTGTTGTCTTACGCCAAGGGGGTTGTTGTGGCTGTCTTCTCACAAAAGGGTTTCACCACCATGTGTCTTGACAAGTGGCCTTGACCTTTAAGCAGCAGCGATATTTGTCATGACACTCCTCAGCGAAATCGGAAAAAGGTAACCTAACACCTTGAAATATGGGTCGTACTTAAATAATGAACTAATCTCCTATTAAAGGTTAAAGATTTTATTGTTCCATTATGAAAATAATCATTATTAGATTTAGATATCTTTATCTTACAAGCAACACTTTAACAACTTCTCAATTCAATGTTGATGTCGTTCTATTGTCATATAAAGTCAGCCTTTTCCAATTCATCTGAAACACACCACACGCAGACGTACAGCGTGTAAAAAGAAAAAGCTCAAGACTGAGAGGCATGAAAGTATTCACATAGTCTTTTAATTAAACGTAACTGTAGATTGTGTATAATCAATTCATACCTACACTTCAAGTTACACGGATGATCGAATCTCAGACACCTGAAGTCAGCGTTAGCTCAACATATTGTCACCTTGCAAAAAACACGAAACCATAATAATCACTTACTTTCAAGATTGTAACCAATGCTTGCTCGATACTCCAGAATCGATACAAATCAATCGAACTGTGGCTGGTTGGAATAAACTGCCTTTGAAATGAAGACTTGGTGTTTCGGCAATGTTATACACCAGACCTTGAAATCAACTCACTCTGTAATTACCTTTCCTAAATTAGCCTAACGTATACTTAATCGTTGACATTGAACACGTTTTGTTACAAGGTCTGGGGTAAGTCTTCACTCTCTTTGACAAGAACCTAACGAGTAAGACGCTAACAAGATCTCCTTATACCGTAGCTACAGACCATTGTACTTCCATCGATGGTCAATTCTCATTTATTCCTGACAAACTATACTTAACTGTAATTTATTTCTGTCTAAACACTGTTATTTTCCTAGCATAACTGATAATCGACCTCAGACAAAGCGCATTAGTAATATAGTATATGACTATAAATGCGATATTGTCTACAGGCAATAATAGGCAATAATAGACGTTGTTAGTTTATAAATCACAGGTTTGTAAGGGCAATGTCCATAGAGAATTGAGGTAACTATCCACAAGCCATAGGCTAGACGGTGTTGTGAAATAGATATCGGTTCATTTTGCTTCAAACGTGTATGTATGTATGTATGTATGTATGTATGTATGTATGTATGTATGTATGTATGTATGTATGTATGTATGTATGTATGTATGTATGTATGTATGTATGTATGTATGTATGTATGTATGTGCGTGTGCGTGAGCGTGAGCGTGTGTGTGCGTGTGCGTGTGTTTGCATATAATCCACGGTCAGGTTGACCCATACTTCCCTTATCGTGTCAAACAAGTCCTCTTTAGTCCTGACGTCCACTGTTCTGGTGTGGATGGCTCTTTCATTTTCAGCCAAATATCTTCCATGATGTATAAATACAGTGACTGTGTAGGCCAAGTCAGACACTTAATATTGTTCTGTTCTTTGTATTCACCAACAATACGGGAGCATTGTTATCCTGGACGCGATCATATTCGTCGGGGAAGGGCCTGCTAATACTGCCACAAAACATCATCCAGTATATCAGTATACTTTCGACAGAAATAATTCCTTCTAAAAGCACTACAGATCCTTCACCATGCACAGAGATACAACCTGCACACCATAACAGACACCAGCTACCGTCGTAATGGACACACACATTGCGGGTAGTAGACTTCGTGGGCCTTCCTCCCGATATATAAACGGTTATTTATGTCCATTACTATTTGACTGTCATCCGTAAAAATGACAGAATTCCAGTTACCTCCCACAGTCCATGTACTTATACCACGTTTCTTACGATATATTTCTCGTTCAACCACATTCTCTTCAGCAATTCGTTTTATTAAAACCTTAATTATGCAAAGTTCTCGGTACATGCCTCCCAGACACAGGATGTTCATATTCTCAGTAGTTTTGGTAGTAACGCCCGTCAAATTTGACGTACGATTAGTTTTCACTATTCGAAAATCGTTTGACAAAGATGAACGACGTCCTTTTCGAGGCTGACTTTCCACACTTCCGGTCACACGAAATCTTTCAACAACATTGTGAGTGGTAGTCCAAGAAATAACTACCTGGCAATTTTACTAAATTACTGTGCTTCCTGGTATAATCTAACAAATATATGGTTGATGTGAGTGTTGAATTTCTGAATTTTTGCAACCAATATGGACAGACAGCAAACACACCACATAACGCAAGAGCAGACGACAATTATAATTTATCACGTGATAGTCACGTGCCCAAACAACACCATCGATTTCTGTGCATTACGTCGAATTATGACTGCGCTGAACGAACAAAGACCGCAAAAACCGAAATCAATAAAGTGTTCCAACACACTCTAGACATGTCTGGACGCATAACCATCACTGACCACAGTATGCACAGCGGTGCACACCAGGAAAGACGATCGAAGAAGAAACATATATAGCCATTACCTTTAGCTTGGTAAGAAAAGTGTTGATTCATATCAAAATACGTATTTCACTCGAGGTCACAGTGACCCGAAATTTGTTAATGTGAGCCTTTGTGTGTGTGTGTTTGTGTGTGTGTGTGTGTGTGTGAAAGAGAGAGAGAGAGAGAGAGAGAGAGAGAGAGAGAGAGAGAGAGAGAGAGTATGTTGGTGTGTGTATGTGTGTTGGTGTAGGGATGTATGCATGTCTGTTTCTCTGTCTCTGTGTCTGATCGTGTATTTCTGGTAACCGATCAATAGAAATATCAAAGGCAGACATCCTGAGGATAAAATAGTCTAGTACAATATGTGTCTGCGTGTCTGTGTCTGTTTCGTCTGTGTCTGTGTGTGTGCATGCCTATGTATTTTCTGTCTGTGTGTCTGTGTGTGAGAGAGAGAGAGAGAGAGAGAGAGAGTGTGTGTGTGTGTGTGTGTGTGTGTGTGTGTGTGTTTTTGTATGTGCTCGGAGCGAGTTTTGGGGTAGGATTTCTCAGCCCTCCATAACTTCAAACCCCGCCTTGTACATAGGAATGCAGTACGACATGGATAATGTCACATCGAGTCAATAGATGAATGTAATCATTATGTAAGTTGAAACGGGTTGTTACACGCATACAATATTTCCTTATACAGCAGAAATCGATGCATGTCATGTCCTTACGTGTTGTGTGGACTACACAGTGATACTGATCTGTACGGAGCAGTGACACGATGACATGTATGTGAATGTATGCGCGTGTGCTTGTGTATGCGTGTGTGAGTCTACATGTGAATACGTGTGTGTGTGAGTGTTTATGTATGGGGTTGTGAGTGTCTCTGCACTTGTATGAGTGAGTGAGTGAGTGTGTTTTTTGAGTGAGTTTTGAGTGAGAGGGTATGTGGGCGGGTGGGTTTATGAGTGAGTGGGTGAATTTTGTGTGGGTGCGCGAGTTTTCCCTAGGTGGTGGGTCGGTGGATGGGTATGTAATTGAGTTTGTGGGTGGGTTAGTGCCTGCATGGGTGTGTGCGACCAGCGTCTTTTAAGAATCGTGATTGGTACAGGCAGAGAGCAATCAACCTGGTCACCTAATCCTTATTGGGTTTAATTGGCCTGTTTGGACAGTACAGTACAAGTGCGCCAATATAATACACTATAATGCTGTTCAGTGCAAGGTCACATCTCGACTGATTCAATCAAATTTGGTCTTAAATCTATGATAAACTATAGAGTTACGACAGATCGTAACGTTACGAACACTTTGAAGATCTGGACGCAATTTTATAAAATTGTAATTGATTTGTACGTTGGATATAGTGTTTTATTACATGATAATTCACTGATCTTCTCCTTCAGAGGGAACTAAATGGCGCCAAACGCAAGAACTGCGAATATCAAGATGTTAAATGAACTGAGAATTCGAAGTTTCATGGCCTCTAAAATGCTATACGAACAGTCAACCAGATACAGTAACTATGCTTTTTGGGCAGTGGTGGTAGCTAGTGGTCTTATGGGTGTAGCTGCTGCTAACCTATGTGATTATCTCCCCGTGGGTGATGGTCAGAACAGATGGGTTTCAGCATCTAAGATGCTCATCGGAGTGGTCTCTGGATTCGCAGTCTCATTTCAAACGGGCAGAATCTTTCTCATTGATTACTTTGAAAAGAAACAGCGAATCTATAACGAAACAGCATCAGGTTGGCAAAAGCTGGAATTGGACATTGAATTATTTCTTAACTCTATCGAGATCACAACCACAGACAGAGATATCAGAGAGTTTACAAGTGAATGTATAAAACAACGGGATTATATATGCTCCAAGTCAAAACCAGAGGAAGACATTTATCAGAAATACCATAATAACCCCGATTTAGTGATCAAGAAGTATCAGAAAAAAAACTCTGTCATTGCGTACATTCTACAAAAACTTGATCGGGAGGAAGAAGCAGAAGGAGAAGAACATCAAGAGGATCATGATGATGAATCAGACCTGGTTTGTTGGGCTTGTCTTCCCTTTGGTGTATATTTTTGTATTCTGTACAGTCCGATCAAATTCTTTATGAAGTATGTCAACGAAAGTCGATGCAATTACCACCGTGAACATTTTATTTAAGAAATCGAGTGTAAAAGGTATGCTGTGGGTCTCTATAGAAATGAGTGAGCTGGCTTTTGAGAGACAAGACAAGACAAGGGCCCAAAGGTGGAGGTACATTGGTATTCTCAAGTTACGCAACTCAGCTAATTGCGGTGCCTGAGACGACTAAACCCCACACCTCCGTTTCTCTATTTACTGCTATGGTACATAGATTGCATGTAATTGTGCATGTTATATATATTCTAACATCTCTGTTTCTGATTTATGACTTATTTATTATGACATCTCTGTTTCTGATTTATGGTATATTTATTCTAGCGACATTTCAGCGACATGGAACACCTTCTGGTGTTGTATACTATCAGTTGTATGCTTCTCTCGAGGGTAATACGGCTCGGGTGACACTGCTACAAAGAGGCGTACATCAGACCGTATTACCCGAGGGAGAAGCATACAACGTATTTAATTTACCGCCATGTTAAATGAACAAAGCATCATTTTATTTTATGCTAAATATCGCTACCGACTACAAGACATGCAAACAAAATGGCGTCTGCCTCTCGACTGGGTTTTTAGCATCAGTGAAACATATTCTGACAAGCATAAAACTGCTATAAAAATTGTCAATTATGTTTAAACTGAGTTTGCAAACCACTCAATGTATAAAATAGTTTAAATAAAGCAGTGAAAGTCGGTCAAATAAATCTGTACAAATGAACACAGAAACAGCTGATCGAACGGTTTTCGAACTCAGGGCACGGCATGCGTCATATTATGACATCATACGATTGTTAGTGCTTCAGCTTCTCGGCGGAGAGCTTGGCGGTTACCGTGGCAGCGGGTAATATTTTTTCCAACGGAAACTTGTTAAACCGTCATTGACCAATGAAATTAAAATATTTTACATAAAGGTAAGATAAATGAGTATGGAGTCCATAGAGATGACCTTGAAGGTGTGTCCTTGTGTTTGTAAGGTCCAATCTACGATTCGAACCACGACCAAAGACAAATGAACGCACCTCTGCACAGTGTTTAATGTTGCCGTAGACGAAAAGATCACACGCATCTGATTACTCATTGACAATGGGTTCAAGTCCGTAATGATGTTGTTGATAGCCGTACTCAGCAATATACCCTCTTTATGTCGTCCGTCTGTAAATATCGAGTCTTAACCAGACAGTCCAACAGTTGTCATGATGACGTTGAGCCTGACGATCCAATCCTGAGTATTTTCATGAGGCAGCGGCGGCACAGGTATATCAACATTTACCCCTCACTTACTTAATAAAACCTGAAACCTAAATATAGATGTAGATTTTGTTGGCAAAACACTAAACGTACTCGTTCGATGTTCAGTGTTGGGCGGTGGGGTAGCATAGGGGTTGAAGCATTGGCTCGTCACGCCGAAGACCCGGATTCGATTCCCCACATGGGTACAATTTTTGAAGCTCATTTCTGGTGCCCTCCTCCATGATATTGCTGGAATATTGCTAAAAGCGACGAAAAGCTAAACTCATTCACTGTTCAGTGTGGCTGAGGGACTGAGTTTCACGCCACTTTCAGCAACTTTCCTGCAATAGTTAAATGCCTTCACACATCATCCTTATGTCGGAAATCGAACCCACGACGTTAGCCACCAGACTACAAGGCTATCTATATAGCCCTCAAAGTCTATTATTACCTCATCCCTTAGTCGTCTCATAAATTGTTCTTTTATCCTTCGAGGACAAGGCGATTGTCGTTAATAGGGAGAGATGCCATACAAGTAGCTCCAAATGAGCTTCTTTGGTCCTTAACTGTTGTATCTATGCTGACAAGGTATAGATCGCCGTGAAGGGTTCGTATATTGATGTAAGATTCACTTTTACAATACTCTGTCCGACCATCCATAAATTCATCATGACAAAGTCTGAACATCTCAAACGAGATCATAGATGGCAACTTCTTCTTATACTCCTTATACTCGTCTTATATATTCACCAACTTCTAAATGCCTCTCAAGAATCTCAAGTATAAACTTGATTCCCTCGATAATATTCACTTCACGAATGATATTCCAAGAAGGGAGGTAGGTTTTGAAATACAATATTATAGTTAAATACTAATGGATATATACTCATGATATAGTCACCATTGTACAATCGAGATTTCTTACGGATGTTTTGTAAAGGGTTTTGTCGCTCTTATCATGGAAAATGTTAACTTCTTTGAGTGGCATTTTAGAAGTTGGGAAGTACAATATAGAACAAACTTTATGGATAACAACTTCTTTTTATTCGTGAGTGCGACGTTTCGATACAGATTCTTGTACCGTTGTCAAGCATAATGGAACAAGAAGAAGGGGGAAGTGTATATATACTGAATGTAACAATGTAACAAAGAAAACAACATAATTAACATAATTGGCTAGGCAGAAAGTTGATGAAGCCAGAGAGTAGACAAAGGACAGGCGTGGAAGCCAATGATGTACAAATAATAATGAGATGTTATACAGCAGAGTTTATACAGTAGATTGGGCTTGGTGGATGAGTGCATCATAAGCGGATGGAATGAAGTATCCTTGGTCTCGGTTGATGGTGGGCTTTTGGCGTTTGATGTGGATGGCTTCGGTGAGCTTGCGTTTATTATGCTTGACAACGGTACAAGAATCTGTATCGAAACGTCGCACTCACGAATAAAAAGAAGTTGTTATCCATAAAGTTTGTTCTATAATGGAAAATGTTACCTGAACATGCAGTGTCATTTTCCTCAAAATACCAGTTTTAAGAGTGTTTAGAGTGAAAAGCAAGAAAGAAGTTCATAGAGTGTTTGCTGGGTTAATATACGATGTAATATACCCAGCAGTTGATCGCCAAGTGAGGGTTTCCTGAAGGGATGTAGACAGTTTGATATGAATCATCCGAGGAAACGTAATATAAAACATGCAATACTCGACAGAATGATCTCAGCTACTATTCAGGGGTTCTTAAATCTACCAACTGAGTAATGAGCTCAAAGGGGCTTCACAGTACGAAGGAATGAGTGAGCTTAACGCCGACTTCGACACATTTTCAGTAGTCGAACTAGGGCCTTCGTCTTAGGCTACCCCAGAACAAAGAGAGAGAAATTGGGCGCTGAGAGCCTGTTCTGCCAAATGATGTCAGTAGGGCATCAATTTAGCTCAATACCCCTAAGAAAACAATTTAGTCGCCAGTGAAGTAACCTCCAAACATATTGCATGAGGGAGTAAGTGAGTGAGTTTAGTTTTACACCGCACTCAGCAATGTTCCAGCTATATGGCGGCAGTCTGTAAATAATCGAGTCTGGACCAGACAATCTAATGATCAACAGCTTGAGCATCGATCTACTTAGTTGGGATACGATGATATGTGTGAACCAAGTCAGCGAGCCTGACCACCCGATCCCGTTAGTCGCCTCTTACGACAATCATGGGTTACTGAAGATCAATTCTAACCCGGATCTTCACGGGTGTTGCATGAGGGAAGATTATGTTACTTGATAACAAGGATGCATGGGTCACACAGGGAAATCAGTAGCAAAATATAGGGGAAAAGGATAAGACGAGGAAAACACACGCGCCCTACAGAAGGAAAACACACAGAAAACCGCCTGATAACCCTATTTGGTATAAATTGTATAATTAGTTTTTGAAGTAGTCCACCAGTTGATTGATGCACCAACTTGAAGAACGTAACACCATATACTAACAGCAGGACAACCAACAGTATAACTGACAGCTAGGAGGTATACGTGAGTAACAAAGGTGCAATATGAGTTAGTAGTAGGTTCGCCAAGGTTCCTATACATGACGTCTTCTTGGTGTAGGACGTTGTTGCAGTTGGTGGTCTGAGCTCGCTTTGTGAGAGTAGCCTAGTCCGTTTGTCTTCAAATGAGAATTGAATAATATATTGTAGCTCAGAATCGTTGTCCCTGCCGCTGTGCCTCCTCCGTTGGAAACATGAACTTGTACACTTGACAATATGTTAGCTTCTGAACAGTCACTTTCCAGTCATGGGTATGAAAATAACAGACAGCAGATATTGTTGATCACAGCGCTTTGACGTGTACCATATTCACATTTAATAATCTATTCCTGATTCCGAGATATTTCGCAATTCGTCATTCTCTTTTGAAGACAAATGGTCTGGAGTAGAAGTGAGTCTGTGCTTCATTTGTTTATTATTTTAATTTTCTTTATTTATATTCATTCCCATAGTTACATAGATGCAAACATATTATTGTAACAGAAGTGAGTGAGTGAGTATAGTTTAACGCCGCTTTTAGGAACACTCCAGCAATATCATGGAGAATCAGGCCCCACACACAGTGCCCATGTGGGGAATAGAACCCGGGTCAACCACTCAACCTCTATGCTACCCTGCCGCCTCAGTAACAAGTAAAATAAGCTGACACATACCAGCTTCTATAGGGTGGTTGAACATAGTCAATGATTGAGATATGGGATGAAAGGAAACCATTTTTTCACAATTTCCACGTCATTGAATTCAAACCACGATCATATGTTTATGGAAAGCCAAAGGGGCGTAACTCTGCACGATACATGATGTATTATGCATGATTTGGCCACCGTTATCTCGCCGAATGGGGAAACTAATTCGGAAGCAACCGTTATATGCATATCGTGTACTGTTATTCAAACAACAATCGACCTTCTCTGAAATAGGAAATGAAAAGAATTATAATGTAGACGGGTAACTTTCATGTAACAGGAGACTTTAAAGGAACAACAGTGTCAAAACCAACGACAGTGTATAGTGTATATATATCTTGCAGTGAGATACATATGTGCATATGTATACAAAGCCCACAATACAATATTGCTACAATTGCACACCATGGTCCATTTGAATACAACAAATGTATATGAAAACAAAATAAAAGCCATACATATACTGAACCGCAAAAGAAACGCCACCTTTCAAAACCAAATGCAAAAGTTTGTTCTTACAAGATGGTGTTTTTATGATGATATCACATCGTCAAGACCAACAGAGTGCGCGCAACCATCTGCATGATGGCTTCACCAGAGCGACGGTAACAGCACGCCAGACCACTGGGACTCACAACAGACCCATTAGTGCAGATACAGTGCGTCGACGTTTGCACGAAAGAAACTTATGCTGTCACAGACCATATCGTGGTCCTGTCTTCGCCGCTCGTCACCGCCAAAACTGACTGCAATGGGCAACTCAGCATCGAAATTGGCGTAATCGACAATGGAGAACTGTGCTTTATTCTGATGAAAGCCGACATTGTGTTTCGACAGCCGATGGCAGAGTGAGAGTATGGCGAAGGCGTGGGGAACGGTTTTATAATGAGTGAATTGTTGAAAGAGACTGGTGGAGTGGCCCAAGCATCATGGTGTGGGGTGCAATCCGTCTGAACCAGAGAGTTGACCCCGCGGTGTTCCAGAATCTCGGTCCAGGACGAGGAAAAGGCGCGACAGCTGCTCACTATATAAGACCCCCTTCCAGCAAGACAACGCTCTTGCCCACACAGCCAGAGCAACATTGGACTTCCTGAGACAACATGGCATCCAAACCTTACAATGGCGTGCACTCAGTTCGAATTTAAGTCTAATAAAACACCTTTGGGACGAGATTCAAAGAAGACCGAATGACCTTCAACTAAGGCCGAAAACTGCGGCTGGACTCGTCCACGGAAGCCACACAATATACTGACTTTGAGATATCCTACTGGTACAATTGTTTGTGATTTTGTTTGTGAGAACTCTAGATGTGATTCTCGAAAATGTGTTAATCATAATTGTCAAGTGTGAACTCAATTAGAGCGAATTAAAGTGTGTGCTTTAAAAAACCTCTATTAGTGTGGCGTTTCCTATTAGTGCGGTTCAGTATACATGTATATACAATGTTGAAGAAACGATATCTAAGTGACAATGAAGGTGACCTTGTGAAATAATATTTATGATATGAATTTCTTCCGTGAACGTAATTTCACCAAGGACATGCCAATTACCAGTGTGATATGCGTGTGTGTGCGCGCGTGCGTGCGTGCGTGTGTGCGTGGGTATGTGTTTGCATATGATCCACGGTCAGGTTGACCCATACGTCCCATTTCGTGTCAAACAAGTCCTCTTTTGTCCTGTTGTCCACTGTTCTGTTGTGGATGGCTCTTTCATTTTGTTTCAAAACAAACAAACAAACAAACAAAAAATATACTATTGACGTCGTGTGCAATACGTCGCTCCATGACGACGCTAAACGAACATAAAGACCGCATACATTTTAATTCAGTTGATCACCATTGTGATCCAACACAATGACTGGACACATAACCCTCATTGAACACAGATTGTACACCTGGAAAGACGATCGAAGAAGAAACACATACAGCCATTACCTGAAGCTAGGTAAGATAACTGTTCCTTCATACATATCAAAATAAGTATTTAATTTAGATCACTAAACCAGATCTAGGGTCTGTGACTGAACTAAGGTGTGTGTGTGTGTGAGTTTGCGTATCTGTGTCTCTGTGTTTTTCTGGTAACCGTTCGTTTTTGTCTGGCGACCACCAATAGAAATATTCCAGGCAGACATCCTCAGGACAAAATAGTCTGGTACTCATTAATGTTGCGTGTCTGTGTGCATGCAGGTGCGTGTGTATCCTACTAATGGAATATTTTTGGGATTATACTTTCTTAGTACAGTAGAGATTCTAGCACTTTTGTTGTAATCATAGCTTTCGACCGAGGGAGCCGTGCCAATTTACACTTATCAGAGGGGTACACAAAGTCCACAGTCTAGACTACCAGTTGTCCGATTCCATTTTTGTGGAAGTCGCGGTGGCTGAGCATGATTAATGGCATTAAAGCGCTTCAACAAGCCGTTATACTCAAACATCAGTTGAATTTCAACCTACGATTGCTGCCCAACGATAGCCTAATCACTCACGAAGAGGGGCTGACTGTAACTACGACCCATCCAGAGGTTTCTAACCTCACTCATGGACCAGCAGGACTTCAGGCCACAACTACCACATCACCTACTACAGTATCTCCAATGGACGACGATGAAATCGAAGGTCTGCTAAGGGACCTTCTGTGCGAGCCAAGCTTCAACCTGCATCTGTATGTTGATGTGTCTCTACAGGGTTGGGGAGCACACCTCGACACAGATGTAACCTCAGGGCTGTGGTCTCCAGAGGAGAAGCTACTTCACATCAATCACGGAGGTTAGGCAGTTACCCGAGCCATTAACCACTGCGCCCTTCGACTGTCCAATCAGTCATTGATGACCAGGACAGCCAACTCATACAGCTGGCAGGCAATCCGGATCTAAATCTTCCAGATTGGTCAAAACTTCTCACTTCTCCTCACTGGAAGCGAAAGCATCAAAACCCGGGTGTCTTCGATCTGCACGGAGGAAACATATCAAGAAGAACTTGACCAGGTCTCTACGCAGATCAATCAGAAGCCTGTATGATGATAAGTGGAAGAGTCTTGACCAATTTGCCAGAAGCAAGGGGATTCCAGCTGATATACAACCTCAGAACCTCAAAGAATCTCAAGATTAGCACCCATCAGCTCTGTCATCACCATGGTGAAGGCTCCAAACTCCCTCAAAGTCCATGAACTGATCGCATTATTGTGTTCTTTCGGACTGGGAGATCAACAGAGGAAGTTCAAAGCCCCAGCTTGGGACTTGAATATAGTTCTTAAGCATCTCACCATCAAAGCTTATGGACCACTTGAAGAAACCGAGTCCGAACATATGACACAACAGCCGCTGTTTCTACTGGAATTAGCTACGGTTTCCAGAATGTCAGAGATCCATTCCATAGACCTCATCCTCACCAGATTTGATAATGTCCCAATGCATCAGTGTCTATTGGTCTCTGTTTGGATTTTATTGCCAAAAATCAGCCAGACCGACAGTTTGACATCCCTCCATTATCTTCAATACTTGGCAATGAAGATAAGGAAGACTTATCACTGGGTCTGGTCAGAGCCCTACGCATCCATCTATATAGAACGGGCGCCTGAAGTCAGTAGTTTAGACGACTCTTCATCCCGCTCATCAGAGATGTCACAGCAGAAGTATCCAAAACAACTCTTTCCTTCTTGATGAAATCGGTGATACTTCGAGCATACGGAGATGTAGGCTCAGAACCTCACCCAACTTCCAACCCAAACGAAGTAAGAGCACCATGTGGCAATTGCTTCTTCCCTACAATCATGGAAGGATGCTTTGAGAATATTTTTCTTTTCATGTTCAATCATTTTTATTTGAGATTATTTGCGAAGAAAAACTCAATTCATGCCATTCCATCAACACATGCAACACATCATGTCAAAAGGGCAGCTTACCAGGCAGGTGGACTCTTATACGAGGGAGAGGTGGGAGTGGGAGGCTTATTCACATTTTCATCTCCCAACGTAAGCCAATGTGTAATATCTTTCATCTACCTCATTGCAACTGGTATTTTATCGAACCTGGGGTAAGACGTCCGTCCATATCCCCCTTAAATTTACAATGAGGAACAATGTCTTTGAGTGGCACTTTTAGTAGTTGGATATGTCAGTATGTTCAGATACAATTAAAGAAACATGTTAAACTCAACCTTATCAGATGAGGGGTATATATTCAGGTGATATGATTTGACTAGAATGAAATTTAAGGGGGGATACGGGCGAAAGTCTGTCCCCGAGAGGCTGAGGATTTCACTTTCTCTCTATATACAAGGTTAGTTTATGTTTTTCTCTCATGTATGTATTTACAGATATGTCTATGTATATACTTATATATGAAATAATGCATTCATAAGATATATTTATCTGTTAAACCTGTAAATTAACTTGCAAATCAGTGTCAGTTATAGACTACATCATCTTGAATCCTTGTATAGCGCTTGTTTCCAGTATAACCAACTGCTCAAAAGTGCTTGTGAGCAATGAACTGTCCTGGGAATACACAGTGTAACAGTAGCAGACTTGAAACAAATGTGTTTTCAGCAGTGATTTGAATGATTCAAACTCAGGGGCACTTCTCATTTCAAGTGGGACGGGGTTCCATATCTGGGGGGCTGAGATTTCGAAACTTCTCTCTCCAAATGATGTACGAGCTCGAGCTGACGGAGGCTTCAAAAGACACTGGTTACAGGAACATAGAGTTCTCACAGGTTTGTATTCTTGGATGAGTTCAGAAATGTTCAGACTAGTAGTTCGTGATTAGTAAATAAGTATATTCAAATGTTTAGATATTCAACCAACTTTGAAGCTAATATAATTTCTCTTTTAATTCATGAACTTATTTCCTTTAATTTTATGCCATTTTTCCCGATTGCCTATGCGATATCACTGTTTAATATTTATAGGATATCCAGATTGAACACTGACCGCTTAATAAGCTGCCAGCTCATTGCCACACAATGGTAAGTTAGGTGTACATATTGTATATATCGACTTTATATCTTGGCAATTTGTGGAGACAGTAATGTATCGGCCTTCTAAGTATAGTTCGCACTAGTTAATCTTTTCAGTTTAACTGTAGCTACTGTTCCCTTTCTACATCATTGATGTATAATTCATAGAAATTATGTGATATGGCTGGTGTAATCTATCAGATATTTTAATAGTATTTTTGTATAATGTTTACAGAGCTGGAAACTGAAAAGTAAACTCTGTTTACTAAATAAAGCGATAGCTGTCGGCTCACGCGCATTCTAAATCGTTTTACGATGATTATTTAAAGGCGGCATGAGCCAAACTGCACTCGAAATCTAGATTAAAATGGGCGTACAATGTGTTTCACAAAAGTTCAGGGGGTTCGAACCACCCAATTTTGAAAACGACTAAAGACCACATTGAAGGTTAAGTCTCAAATGACATATATTACGTCAATTTTACCCTTCAATAATCAAACAGCCCTTCAGTTACGGTTAGCAGAAATGGCTACTACGTTTTAAACATCATCGTGGTTAGATCGCCAAAACGCACCTTTGATACGAAACTGTTATCGGAAGTAGAAAGTAACCTTTGCTCTGCTTTGTCCGATTCACATGACTGATTGAGACAGCAGACGAAATCGACGTTTTTAGTACTGTTGTGGCGTGACAACACACCATGCTCAGGCTATTTGGTGTTTTTCTTATATTGTTGCAAACAAAATTAAGTTTATCGTCTCCAGAAACCTACTATTTCACGGACAAATTCGGTCTTGGTCGATTTTTTGACGGCATTGGCGGACTTAGCGCTGGAGCGGTAAGTTTCAATGCTATTCTCAATAAGTCAATATTATGATTGTTGTAGACAAACAGCGCCTTGTCTTATGATTTCGATCGTGAGCATTATGACTATGATGTTATAGTCATATTTCCTGTGAAGCCACGTGTATCTTGTATACATTTGTGCGTGATCGTGCAGTTTAGTATTGTACTCGCAGTGTTGACCGCGTGTAACATGGTCTACACTGTGTAATGTGTGTAGGTCACCCATACTTGCATCGTTGCTTAAAAAATGTGATATACCATATTATTGGGCTCATTCCTCGTTTAAGGTACAGGGTACGTTTCTGTGTTCTGATTTTAGCTAGGGTGCGTTTCTGTACACAGAAACATACCTGGGTTATATATTTATAGTATCTGTGCCTCTTCAGCCACGCTTGGGCCGGCTATCTGGAGATCGATAGGCGTTAACAGTATCGATCGTTCATCAACAGATTTCTTGAAAGTAACTTTGAGTAAAAGTTTAAAAATAAGTCTGAAAGAAATCATCACATTTATACATAAATTACCTAAAAAAACATATACATCCTTAACATGATTTAGAATCAGATCGTGAATAAAGACCTAACTTTGTGTGGAGTAGTCTGTGAGAAAATTATAACTTTATTCATCACAATAGTTTATGTAGGGTATATATAATATAGTATTGATGACAGTTTTCATATTGATAATTATTAATAATTCTTCTCATTGACAATATCTCTGATTATCAATGTTTTCAGCCAACCCTATACAAACTGCATGATTTGTCATGCATCCTTAATTAAAAACTGTTGCACACAGAGTATAAAATAGTTTTGAAGTGTGGCTTGTCCAAGCACTGGCTGTCCAAAAAAGTGACCAGTCCCAAAACTAAAACAATCAAACATCAACATGAACAAGAACATGATTGCTAAGATGAAGTTCAAACCATGTTAAGTTGATTTTTTCAAATATTTCCTCCGACCAAAGAACGGCCATACTTATTTAATAGACCATCCTTCACAAAAATATTTTTATGCACTGCTGCACATCAATCGTTCTGAGGAAGGTACCAGGGATGGTATCCACTCACACAGTCTTATATAGTTAAAGCACACATTTCAAACAGTGCCCTGATACAGCAAAATACATAAATCTTTACAATTCTTTTCATTCAGTTGGGAAAAGTGAGTGTATGTACAGTTCTATGTTTTGTGATACCGAAAATAAATTTCAGCCAGCCATAAGGTACGATGCCTCATCAGTGAACACTCTGGCTTATAATTGTCAAAGCACATATGTATTTATTTATATGTCCTGCGCATGCTATTGCCTAACTCGAACTTAATAATCAACTCTGCAAGCCATCTCTCCACATGCAGCTCTTTATTATACGTGTGTGAGGCCATGTCAGTGTTAGATGAAGGACAAAACGTTTAATGCAAAGAGGAAAACAGCCACAATGAGCCGCTGTTTCGCTTTCCGTTTTTTTATTTCAGAAAGCGAAAGAAAATGTATCCGGGAAATAATTTTTGTCTGTTTCAGTCTTCAGTCCTGCTGAAAGGGTACCCAGCACAACAGAGAAATGAAATTCTGGACTACATGTTTAAGGTGTGTCAAATCAATATATATGTAGATTGATACTGTCTTCTGTAAGGTTTATATGCATGATGGGCTTGACACAGACACATATGAATGAAGCTTCAGTAACCCATGCTTGTCGTAAGAGGCGACTAATGGGATCGGGTGGTTAGGCTCGCTGGCTTGGTTGACACACGTCATCGGTTCCCAATTGCGTAGATTGATGCTCATGCTGTTGATCACTGGATTGTTTGGTCCAGACTTGATTATTTACAGACCACCGCCATATAGCTGGGATATTTCTGAGTAAGGTGTAAAACGTCTTGTCACGCCGAAGACTGGGTTTGATTCCCCACATGGGTACAATGTGTGAAGCCCATTTCTAGGGTCCAGGGCATTGATATTGCTGCTAAAAGCTGTGTAAAACCCAAACTCCCTCACTCACTCACTAATGCACTATCAATCAGACATCAACTGAAATGGGTATATGTGAGTTAGTGGTAAGCATAACTAATCAGATGAAATGCAAGGAGAGGAGAATGTGAAATTTTAAGTCAATGAATCTACGATTGTGTTGTGTAAGTTGCATAAGTTTTTCCCAAAAAATGTTTTAGTTACTGGCATTTTTTGTCATAATTTAACTTTGAATTTTTTTTGAAGTTTTGAAGCAAAACAGGACAATCAGAGATTAAAGCTAATGCAAAATCAGCCATTACTGATGAAAACAGAACTCTAACTTGCTAAACAGATGCAAAATAGTCAATTACCATGTCAGCCTTAAATATGCTAAAAGTGTTTCGAACAGTATTGTTACTTATTTGTTTACATTACTAGTTGCTGCACATTCAGTTCCATAGCCACAGAGTTTCCTTCAGTATAGCTTATACAACAAATATTGTCTCATCATTTATTTAAGTGGCATTTGTCTCATTATCTAAATCTTGTCAAGGTTTATTGAAGACCAAGAAGTATTTGACATAAATACACATTAGTTTTCTTTTAATAAAACATTTGTGTCGAGTATTTAAATGCTGTGAAGTATCCAGCTGTGTAAAGAAGGCTCAAACACTGAGTTATGTGAGTTTTTGTTTTCATTTTGTTTTCAGCCGAACTTCGGAGCTGCCTTTCAGATCCTGAAAGTTGAGATTGGTGGTGATGCTCAGAGTACAGGTAATATGCAGCAGGTTGTTCACTGTAAGGGGCAATGGGTTAACATAGCACTAGGTGACAATCTTCATGGATAATTTTTGCCCCACCTTGCACCTTCATTACAGAGTCCAGTCCAACCAAGAAGACCGTTTGTTCACTTGTCATTAGGGTTAGCTATATGAGATTTAGATTGTCACCATTGTGTGATGTGACTGATGATGTTCCATTTAACCATACCATGTAACTGTTGCTCATGCAATTGACCACTTGCCAAGACTTGTTTATTTACACCCTGCCCATTTCACCTCAACATAAAACAACATTCACTCATGGTGTGCAGGATTACTTGTACACTGGTATATTGTGGTGCAAATCTTAAGCACAATGTATTGCTATACATTTGTAGCAATACATTAGGGCAAATATAAATATGTATCTTATATAATATTTTTGTGTTTAATAATCAATATGGAAAATAATATCTTTCTGATTCTGCTTGACTTTGACGATCATTTTATTTATTTATTTACACATTGCTACCATGTGACCATAATATCTCACATGATTGAATGGGTGATTTCAATAGCTTTGACTAACTGTATCTGACATGTGTGTTACAGTGTGTAACTCTGATGAAGGCAAGAAGTGAAAATGTAAACTGGCAGTATATTGCAGTATGTATTGCAATACACGTTAAAGTATGGCAGTATATTGCAAAACAAAATCAGGTCTCACTCACTCACTCACTCACTCACTCACAGATGGGACTGAGTCCACCCACATGCGGACACCGGACGAGGAGAACTATGAGAGGGGATACGAGTGGTGGCTGATGCTGGAGGCAAAGAAGGTACGTCACCTTGATACTCAGGAAACACACTAACTTGAAAAGTGGTAAATTTGTTATTATCCCCTGCAACATGTTTTGGTGGTGGGTAATAAAATGCACTCTGTCCGTCCGTACGTGCACATTCGTCTTTTCTGGACGCCTTGAAATGAAGGTTTCTAGAGCTGCAGATGTTCATAATTCCTAACTGATTTTTGTTGATATACCAGACATCTTATCGCCAAGTTTTGATGAAGGTCTAACTGTTTGTTTGAATTTATAAAAGCATGCTTTATCCAGACTGGTATATGGTTTTCTTCTAGCGTAACCCCAACATCAAGCTGTACGGTCTGCCCTGGGGGTGGCCTGGCTGGGTGGGAGGGGACACGGGGAACGTGTACGACAACCCTGAACAGACAGCCATGTACATTGTGAAGTGGATCATTGGAGCAAAGACAGCCCATAATCTTACCATCGACTATATTGGGGTAAGGTGCTGCAGGAAATACACTGGTCATTGTATTGGGCATCAGACCTCTAGCGAATAGTTGTACCATAACATGTAGTAAAAGAAAATTCTTTTTAGTTTTCAGTGAATGCAAATAAATTGCAGCAAAATGTACTAACTGTTAATGCCTATCAATTATACTGACAATATGCACTTCAGTAATAAAATGCAAAAAATTATATGTATTAGGCCAGAACAATTTTATTTCTTGTTTTATGGATTTTTGTCCTCAGAAAACCTAGAGGGAGGAGGGAAAAAATAGAAATAAAAATCACCAGTGAAAGTAATATTCCTTTTAAATGCTAAAGTATTTTACTTTTGGGATTTTATGAAGTGTAGATTTTATGAAGTGAAGAGAAAATTCTAAAAACATTTTCTTGCACATTTACATTTTTGGCCAATAAAAATATTAAAATTTAATTTTTTGAGCGGGAAAATTCATTTTTATTTTTTTTCCTTATTCTTGAAAAAATATGGCTGGCGGATCCATAAAACAAGAAATAAAATTGTTCTGGCCTTATATGGTGTTAACAAGTATGTATGTTAGGGCTGCAATAGATCTACTATGAGGCGATTTTGTATCACAAATACTAGTAATGAATATGAATATTGGGTAAAGAATACAATAACAAGTCAGCAGTTGATGTATTATTCAAACATTAAAAAAATAATTTCTTGATATGTTTATCATAACAATGATAAATTACCACATTAGCATCAAATTAAATATGTAGTATACTATTATGCCGTCTGGATATATTCCAGTTTGCAAATATCACTTTGATAAATAACCCCCTAAATCTAGTAAAAACAATGCTTTCTAAAATTCATGAATTCTGGTGATTGCAAGTGATGAATTGCTCTAGATCTCTTCGACCTGAGCACAAGCATCTCTTTACCGTGTCCAGGTATAAGACAGTCACATTGGTAACAGAACCTTCGCCCAGCGCTACAGATAACTTATGGGCCATTGAGTTATGTACTTGCTTGTTTTCATCTCAATTTGGTATCCTAATTTTCCTTTGAGTAACCAAATAAATTGTACTCACCTAACTCAAACTCAATTGAGTATTTTGCCTTTTTCCATTAATTTTAGAAATATAATAAAGTTTAAATGTTAGTGTTTGTTATTTATATCTGATCTGTAGTATGAGGAACGATTAGAAAGATTGGAAGTTGTCAAGTTCATGTCTTGAAATAGAACCTTTTCAGTATACGTCAGATATTTTGTCTATCCACTGGTACGCAAGCTAATATTTGACATTTTTGTGTGTACGCATGTAAGATGACACTTACTGAGTATTTACCAAAATTCAAGCGTACTTGTATGCAATAGGCTTAATAGGAATTGAGTTTTCACATAAATATTTTCGTAATTTACGCAGATATGCAGCTTATCTGTACCTCTGTTCGCCTACACTGCCTCAACCTTATGGAATAAGCTGACTACATACCCCAAAATAGCTGAAACACTGCCTTCAAAAATAATCTACAGACTTATCTCTTTCAAAAGAATTTTCTCTAACAAACTCCTTGTCTGAGCAGTTCACAAAGCATACTGTTGTGTGAATAGATGCGCTATCAAAATGTACATACATGTATTGTTATTATTATGAAATGAATTCATGAAGGGATATGGTTCCATCTATTCAATCACAGAATATTCATATCCACCACTGTTTTTAATGGTAGAATGTTTGTAGTTTTTAGATAAATGGCTAACATTACTTACAGTCACTAGCAGCTGAAGGGATGGTATAAAACAGGTAGGGAACTGTGTCGAAAGCAGAAGTATTGGAAGTCTCCACAGTCTCTAGTATGGTGGCCTAACTAATCAGTTGCAAGAGATCTCTTGCTAATTTTTTGTCTCATATTTTAATTTTCTTTGATCTAGTTTCAACATATATGTGATAAGCTAGTAATTTTATTGTCCCCAATTGACAGGGGTTTAGAAATTATGGGTATTTATCATGAAATTAGAACTAGTTTTAGTCACGATATGTAGCTGAAATATTGCTGATGTGACTTAACATCTTATCTCACTCACTCCATCTACTGGCGAAGTGGTACAGGTGGATAGCTGATAAATGTTGCCGTTCATTGACTGCATGAGTGAATTGTATAAGCCCTAATATATATATCAAATGGTTTGATAGTGGCATTACAACTTAAAGTGGAGGAGAGCCTGAAGTGACACATGAATTTGTATGGACAAAGGTTTTCATCTTAATCTTGACAAATGATTGAACATATTGACTGTTTTACATGCTTTTTGTTGTTTTCATTCAGATCTGGAATGAACGAATGTACAACATCACATATATTAAGGTAATCAATATGATAGCAGAAATTATTTGAACTTAAAATACCTAAGATTTTATGAAAGCTAGAATATTCTAAGTATGTTGCAAATGATGCAAAAAACTTTGCAATGTGTAAAATTGAAAATGTCATGATTATTTTTTTTCTAGTTACCAAAAGCACTTACTTTGGAATCCAAGATGGATCACTCTAAATCTTTCTAGTTACCAAAAGCACTTACTTTGGAATCCAAGATGGATCCCTCTAAATTGAAAGTCACTCTGATATCGAGTATTGGTATGTTTTGTCTTCTAAATGGACATTTTGTCTGATATCCTTTAGCAATACTTCTTCTTTGATAGGGAAATACATCTTTAGAATTTTTTATATATTTTTTATCACTTTATTTCTTATTGATCTGGGTACAGCATATCATGTGCATTTAACAAGTCAGCATTTTTGTTGCTTTATATAGGAGTCAAATTACAAAGTCATTATCAATGTAAATAGATTGTGGCAAGACAACCAAAATGTAACAAAAGTGTCGTATTTGCAGTGAGAAAATATTGACTTGGTTCTCAGGCACCTGTACAAAAGCAAAATAATATCCTTATGTTATTGTACAATAGCGACAAATTGCTTGCTTGTTGTTATCAGTTTTGTAAGAGACAACCCATGAAGACCCAGGTTAGACTAGGTATTCTGTAATGCTTGTCATAAGAAGCGACTAACGAGGCTCTCTAACTTGGTCGATGCATGTCATCATGTCACAGTTGCAGACCCATGAAGGTCCAGGTTAGAATACTGATCTTCAATAACCCATGCTTGTCGTAAGATGTGACTAACGGGATCAGGTGGTCAGGATCGCTGACTTGGTTGACACATGTCATCAGTTCCCATTTGTGCACATTGATGCTCATGCTGTTGATCACTGGATTGTCTGGTCCAGACTCGACTACTTAAAGACCGCCGCCATATAGCTGGAATATTGCTGAGTGCGGCGTAAAACTAATTCACTCACTCACTCACAGTTGCAGAGACCAATGCTCATGATATCAATCACCGGATTGTCTCGTCCAGCCTTGATTATTTCTACACCACCATGATATGGCTGGAAATTGCTGAGTGAGGCATCAAACAAAAAAAGGACAAATTGTAAGAGATAGTGTGAGTAACCAGCTGTTATTCATCTTATTTGTTCCGTGTTTTGAAATGATGTAATGCTTCTTTTCCAGACCCTGAGGAAATCTTTAGACAGTAATGGTTTGCAGAGCACAAGAATCATTGCTGCGGACTATTTCGGCTGGGACACCTTGTCTGATGAAATCATAAATGATCCAGAATTATCAGCAGACATCTATGGAATAGGGTATAAATGTTTCATGAAAATCATGGGAGGGAAATGTGGAAGTATCTTTGACAATAGCTTTAAACCATTATCTGAAAGAAATTCTTTAGCATGTATGGATTTCTAGTTGAAAGTGATTAAGACTATGCCATGTATGCTTGTGATTACAATGAATACTTGCTGAATTATCAAATACTCTGTTCACCAGAATATGCATCACAATATGAAGACCTGTGTATGATTTACCAAGTTGTGAATTCTTGACACCTGTTGTACACAATCTAATGGTATTGTATATATGTCGTGTATAATACAATGGAAAAATCTCATTAGTCTGACTACAGACACAACTTGCAGTTGTTCATTTTGTGAACTGAATATCCATTCCAGTAATACAGTGAGTGAGTAAGTTGGGTTTTACACCTCTTTTAGCAATACTCCAGCAATATCAGGGACACCAGAAATGGGCTTCATACATTGTACCCATATGGGGAATCGAACACGGGTCTTCGGCGTGACGAGTGAACGCTTTCCTCTGCCCCAGTAATACAGTGAGGTCATTAGTGTGTATGGTTTAGCTGGGCAACAGATTGTGTTTCTCCAGTGTGTCTGTGATGTGTTGCCAGTGTTCACTACCCTGGAACAGTCAGCTCCCTCAAGGCCCTAGAGTCAGGCAAACAGCTGTGGGCGTCGGAGGACTACAGCACCTACGATGATTTAGTTGGAGGAGGATGCTGGGCAAGGGTATGTAGATGGATTCAGGGGAAGTGAAGGTCCTTTTGCCATTCTTGTGGAAGGAGGGCAACAAAAACCTCTGATTCAGGGGCAGAGTGCCATTTCTTGTTGGGACTGTGTGAGTGTGAGTGAGTTTAGTTTAAGCCACACTCAGCCATATTCCAGCTATATGGCAGCGGTCTGTAAATAATCGATTCTGGACCAGACAATCCAGTGATCAACAGCATGAGCATTGATCTATGCAATAGGGATACGATGACATGTGTCAACTAAGTTAGCGAGTCTGACCACCCGATCCTGCTAGTCGCCTCTTATGACAAGCATGGGTTACTGAAGATCAGTTCTACCCAGGATCTTCACGGCATTTGTGAGTGAGTAAATTTTGCTTAATGCTGCATCAGCAATTTTGCAGCAAGTTCCTTGTGGGAGGAAACACAAAGGCTGCCACATACACTGAAACCAGATTAATAATGTAACTATTTTAGCATGATAGGCTTGCTGTAGAAGCTTATGAAGTACTCAGCTGTGTAGTGTTTGTTTGTGGATGGAAATTATTTTTACAATTTACAAATTTTGAAAATGGTCATAGTGGATGTACTGATTTCTATTTCAGCATCAAATTTCAACTTTTACACACGACTAAGGTGGTGTTTTAATGCAGGTTGGTTGCTTTGTGAGATGGTGGGACAGATTGTGTTTTTGATGAGGGTTGGTTGATATGTAAACTGATGTTACAGATTATGTTTTGGATGATTTCTGGCTGCTATGTGAGCTGATGGTACAGATTTATGTTTTGGATGAGGAATGGTTACCATATTAGCTGATATTACAGTCTGTGTTTTCAGCTCCTGAACCAGAATTATGTCAATGGATTTCTGACAAGGTGAGCATTCATGAAAAGAATTCTGCCGAAATTTTTTTCATTGTTCCATTAGGCCAGACAAATTTTATTTCTTGTTTTACGGATCCGCCGGTCGTATTTTTTCAAGAATAAGAAAAGAAATAAAAAATAATTTTTCCCCGCTCAAAAAATAAAATCCTCATGTCTTTATTGGCCAAAAATGTAAATGTACAAAAAAAAATTTGATTGTTTTTGCCACATATACACTTCATAAATTGCCAAAAATAAAATACTTATAGTATTTAAAAGGAATATTACTTTGACTGGTGATTTGTATTTTTTATTTTTTTCCCTCCTGCCTTTAGGTTTTCGGAGAACAAAAATCCGTAAAACAAGAAATAAAATTGTTCTGGCCTTATGTTTGTATTCATATTACAGTTTGTATTCTTATTTCCGAGAGTTTATGATAATCAGTCTTCAAAATCATGCACACGCTTTAGTGAGTCAGCATGTACAATAGACATATTACTGTATTGCTCTAAAATAGTTGTGTATATTTCCCTAGTACAATATCCTGGGCCTTGTTAGCAAGCTGGTATGAAGGTCTGCCCTACTATGGAGACGGTCTGATGACAGCTGTAGAGCCATGGAGCGGACACTATGATCTGTCCAGTCCACTCTGGCTGACAGGTGAGTGCTACTACATGGATCAGTGTATTATATCCACATAGTGTTCCCCCTAGGAATTTAGCAGGGCGCAGCACTTTGTCCTCTTTTTTGGGCGCACTGCCCTTTTCATTTGGCACTTGCCTTTCCTTTTAATACAATAACTGATATAAACACTTGGTGGTTTATAGTCCGTCAACTTAACTTTTGGCACCCTGTTTTTCACAATTTACAGAAACTCCTGAATATTTTACAACACTGCTCTGTTCATATGGTAATTGTATACCGTGACCTAACAAGATATTGATTTAAGTAATTTTAAAACGATTATTAAAGATTTGCCTTTAAACCTGTCATATAATAATTGTAAAACTGTGGAGAGTTTTACGAGGGGTTAACGCACCTGACGGAAAAGCCAACAACACTGTAAAATGTGTGTCAGCGTGTTATGTACATGCACGGGTATTTACATTAGCACGCTTAAGTGATGTCAAAGATCGTCAACACGCACAGGTTGTAGGGAAAACGATGTTGTACAAAGATGGCCGGCAAATCATCAAAAGAGTTAACAACTTTTTCAAGTTCGAGGCAAAGCGAAAAATTCTCCAAAAGACATTTAATGCCACAAAGATCTGCAAAAGAATATTGCAAAGAGTTATCTCCCATGACACTATTTCAGAGCCTGACGATGACATGGCAGTTAAATCGGGGACCGTCTCAAAACATGCAAAGAAAACAAAGCTTGATGAATTCGATAGAAGGGTTGTGAGGGACGTCATGCGTCGGTTACATCAATCCATATTGTCAAGTAAACTGACGAATATATTGTTCAACATCATTGTATCAAAGCATACGATATGCAAGCTGTGGATATAGATACAAGCAACAGGTCTTTAAAGACTTCAATGAATCTATTTGTTTAAAATGGATTTATGATGATTAAACAGTCCCTGTAGATTTCCTTGGAGGCGTAACAATGTAACAAGATGCACGCGGTGTCACACCATGTTGTTGGGTGTCCCATCATATCATTTTACTCCCTTGTATAACTACTTCTATTTTTCATATTTTTATAAGATGGCTTCTTAAGAAGAAGCTTTAATAATTGACATAAAATTATAAAAATTAAACCTTGGATAGGTCATAAGATATAAAGAGCGTATGCACAAAAGTTGACGGACTATAGTTATATTTCATGTTCAAGTTAAGTGAAATAACTGTGCTCTTTAAGTTTTCAAGAATTATATGCATGAATAACTAAATATAATACTTGGAAATCCGTCATTGCATGCCCCTTTTGGAATAGGGGTGCCCGTTTTGAAATTCTGTCGCCCTGACCTTTTTTTGATCCTGAGGGAACCACTAACACAGCACTTGTGGATCAGCTGTAGAGTTGTGGAGTGGACACTATGACCTAGCCAGTTCTCTCTGGCTTACCTCTCAAATCATTGTAATTATTATTTCTGAACACCTAGCCGATATGAATGGTGCATTTGCTATCCATCATTAACATTCACAATTTTTCCTTGCAGCACACACAACTCAGTTCACCAGTGTTGGATGGAGGTATCTGAGTCATGGCTGGGGGGTGGGGCACCTTGCAGGTGGGGGGAGCTATGTTGCCCTGGTCAGCCCTGATGGGAAGGACTTCACCATTGTCATAGAAACCATGGTAAGACATGCAAAAGGGTCCTGCTTCATCAACGTGATACTGATACTACCCTGGGAAGTATGGGATGAAATCTCCTTTGTCTTGAGAGAGACTGTAAACTACAGGAATCACAACCCGTGAAGGTCCAGGTTAGGATATTGATCTTCAGTAACCCATGCTTGTCGTAAGAGGCGTTGAACAGGATTGGGTGGTCAGGCTCGCTGACTTGGTTGACACATGTCATCGGGTTCCCAATTGCGCAGATTGATGCTCATGCTGTTGATCACTGGATTGTCTGGTCCAGACTCTATTATTTACAGACCGCCGCCATATAGCTGGAATATTGCTGAGTGTGGCGTAAAACTAAACTCACTCACTCACAGGAATCACAGATCTTCACTTTCAGTTGAATTCTCCAATTCCAGAGGCTTTCATTTTCATTGAGATCAGGGTTTTAATCCAACTTATGCTAAACCTGAAAATTTGTCATCCGATACAACATTTATCAACAATCTTTTTGTCTAAAGAATACTTTCCATGAACGTTATGAAATGAATGTTAATTATCTGTTTTTGACATACGTTTTCTTGAAAACACTTCTAGAAAGCACTGTAGTTGATAAGCTCCTCTCTGGCCTAGTAGCTTTCTCACTGGGATACAGATAGGAAGGTTGCTAGTCTGAGTCCTTGATTTTCCATAGAATATCCCTTAGACAATCAGCTGCAGATTTTTTCATTATTCCAGCTATACCAAAGAGGTGTGGTTCATGTGTCTCAGAGTTACAAACTTATCTGTCAATGTGTCGGAATCAACAGACAAAATATCAGACAAATACAAATTCTTGAGTTGTTAAACCCCATACAGATAGGGACACAACAATTTTGCATGTTTCTTGTCACAACAAGGAACATGTTATGTTATTGCAGACTCCAGATAATAATTTCTAACATTTCCTAAGCATGGTTTTGTTCTGTACATAAAGCCAAAAGCATCATGAGAGGTTATTTATTTAATACAGATGTGTCCCAAAACAATAGATGACATCACAGGGATTTTCAAAACCTGTTTTGTTTTGAAATCTGTCACGAGGAATCCCTTGGGATTGCTGTGAAAGTGTGCAATAATAAAATGATTTTGTTTTTATTTAGAGCCACAACCACTCTGTGTGCATCAGACCAGCTTTAAAACCATACACTGTGGTCCCGCAAGATGTTAAATTTGTCTTCAATGGGAGTTTTGTGAGTTTTATAATACATGCAAGTAATGATTATTGTTTCACTTTGTTTTGAGCAGAAGTTATATGGCCTAAAACCTAAATTATTTGACAATGGTTCACAGTTGATGTACATTAAATAACGCACAAAAAAACAGATATAAAGTTTTCTTTACGATGTGCAATGACATAAATACAATAAGTATGGTAAGACCTGTTTCATTTGCTGTCTTTTCAGTCGGGTATAAGGAAGTTATATCCATGGTTTTCTCAGCTAAATTTCACGGGAGAGTCTACATTATTCCAGCAGCAAATGCCCGTTCCAGTAAGTGAATTATGCTGCAGAATTATGCTTTTAAACAAGTTACCTATAATTGCCTGTCATTGAATCCCAGTTGCATAAATTGATGCTCATGATTTCAGTCACTGGATTGACTGGACACCATGATTTACAGATGATGCCATATATATTTTAAAATGCTGGATGTGGTGTTACACACCAAAACACACAAACAAACAAAATGGTAAATCCAAATGGTTGCTGTATGTAACCTGGGTGCTGTATGTAACCTGGTTGCTGTATGTAACCTGTGTGCTGTATGTAACCTGGGTCCTGTATGTAACATGCGTGCTGTACATAACCTGGTTGCTGTACGTAAGCTGGGTGCTGTATGTAACCTGGTTGCTGTACATAACATGCCTCCTGTACGTAACCTGGGTGCTGTATGTAACCTGGGTGCTGTATGTAACCTGGGTGCTGTACGTAACCTGGGTGCTGTATGTAACCTGGTTGCTGTACATAACATTCCTGATGTATGTAACCTGGTTGCTGTACATAACATGCCTGCTGTACGTAACCTGGGTGCTGTATGTAACCTGGGTGCTGTATGTAACCTGGGTGCTGTATGTAACCTGGGTGCTGTATGTAACCTGGGTGCTGTATGTAACCTGCGCTGTAACCTGGGTGCATGCAAACCTGGCTGCTGTACATAACATGCCTGCTGTATGTAACCTGGGTGCTGTATGTAACCTGGGTGCTGTATGTAACCTGGGTGCTGTATGTAACCTGGGTGCTGTATGTAACCTGGGTGCTGTATGCATAACCTGGTTGCTGTACATAACCTGGGTGCTGTATGTAACCTGGTTGCTGTATGTAACCTGGTTGCTGTATGTAACCTGTGCTGTACATAACCTGGTGCTGTATGTAACCTGGGTGCTGTACATAATAGGTGCTGTGGGTGCTGCTGTATGTAACCTGGGTGCTGTATGTAACCTGGGTGCTGTATGCCTGTATGCTAACCTGTGCTGTATGTAACCTGGGTGCTGTACATAACATGCCTGCTGTATGTAACCTGGGTGCTGTACATAACCTGGGTGCTGTATGTAACCTGGGTGCTGTACATAACCTGGGTGCTGTATGTAACCTGGGTGCTGTACATAACCTGGGTAACCTGGGTGCTGTACGTAACCTGGGTGCTGTATGTAACCTGGGTGCTGTATGTAACCTGGTTGCTGTACATAACATTCCTGCTGTATGTAACCTGGTTGCTGTACATAACATGCCTGCTGTATGTAACCTGGGTGCTGTATGTAACCTGGGTGCTGTATGTAACCTGGGTGCTGTATGTAACCTGGGTCCTGTATGTAACCTGGGTCCTGTATGTAACCTGGGTGTTGTATGTAACCTGGTTGCTGTACATAACATGCCTGCTGTATGTAACCTGGGTCCTGTATGTAACCTGGGTGCTGTATGTAACCTGGGTGCTGTATGTAACCTGGTTGCTGTACATGTTGTATGTGTAACCTGGTTGCTGTACATAACATGCCTGCTGTATGTAACCTGGGTGCTGTATGTAACCTGGGTGCTGTATGTAACCTGGTTGCTGTATGTAACCTGGGTGCTGTACATAACCTGGGTGCTGTATGTAACCTGGGTGCTGTATGTAACCTGGTTGCTGTATGTAACCTGGTTGCTGTTATATAATATGCCTGCTGTATGTAACCTGGGTGCTGTACATGGGTGCTGTACATAACATGCCTGCTGTATGTAACCTGGGTCCTGTATGTAACCTGGGTGCTGTATGTAACCTGGGTGCTGTATGTAACCTGGTTGCTGTACATAACATTCCTGCTGTATGTAACCTGGTTGCTGTACATAACATGCCTGCTGTATGTAACCTGGGTGCTGTACGTAACCTGGGTGCTGTACGTAACCTGGGTGTTGTACGTAACCTGGGTGTTGTACGTAACCTGGGTGCTGTATGTAACCTGGGTGTTGTACATAACCTGGGTGCTGTATGTAACCTGGGTGCTGTACATAACCTGGGTGCTGTACATAACATTCCTGCTGTATGTAACCTGGTTGCTGTACATAACATGCCTGCTGTATGTAACCTGGGTGCTGTACACGTGGTAACCTGCTGTACGTAACCTGGGTGCTGTACATAACCTGGGTGCTGTATGCATGTGTAACCTGGGTGCTGTACATAACACGTAACCTGCCTGCTGTACATAACCTGGTGCTGTACATAACCTGGGTGCTGTACGTAACCTGGGTGCTGTAGTATGTAACCTGGGTGCTGTATGTAACCTGGTTGCTGTACATAACATTCCTGCTGTATGTAACCTGGTTGCTGTACATAACATGCCTGCTGTACATAACCTGGTTGCTGCATCGTAACCTGGGTCCTGTAACCTGGGTGTTATGCGTGTAACCTGGTGCTGTACGTAACCTGGGTGTTGTAAACCTGGGTGCTGTACGTAAACCTGCGTGCTGTATGTAACCTGGGTGCTGTATGTAACCTGGTTGCTGTAACCTGGTTGCGCTGTACATAACCTGGTTGCTGTAACCTGGTTGCTGTACATGTCTGCTGCTGTATGTAACCTGGTTGCTGTACGTAACCTGGCTGCTGCTGTAACCTGAACTGCGCTGCTGTAACCTGGGTGCTGTACGTAACCTGGGTGCTGTATGTAACCTGGTTGCTGGTAGATAACATGCCTGCTGTACATAACCTGGTTGCTGTACAAAATGCTGCAGCCTGGTTGCTGTAGATAACCTGGGTGCTGTATGTAACCTGGTTGCATGTGTCTGTTTCTGTTTCGAAAGCCATCAGCTACTGCTTCAGCTGACTTCACTGGCACTCATGTATATTCAAGGATGTATCTAGACCTGCTCACCCAATACTGCATGTATATGGCATTCTGTCCCCTTACTGCATTATATGTCAATAAGAAATAGTGACAGAAGTCCCAGTCGTAGTTATAGTGAAAATAATGTTTTATAGGTGATTTGTGTGACACAGATAGCAAATCTATTAAAAGAGGAAGAAGGTTTAATGCTTAGTTAAAGCATTAGTTGAGAGCAGTGGTGAAATACACCAGAATAGAAATAAGAACTGATAAACAAGGCTAAAACCTTCCCAATTATACTGCCAAGGACAGTTAGTTTGCAGTCAGCACTGTTGACTACAAAGGAATTTGACATTCACTCACTCATTAATAGTTCAAGACTCTTTTAATTTTTGACAGAGGAAGTCAGGAAATTTCAATATCTTTCCATTTTCAATGTTTATTGTTTCCAGGTGATTGATGGTCAGATAAGGTTTAAACTGGGTGTAGATCAGGTTCTTACCCTGACCACAGTTACTTCGGGAAACCGGGGACAGTATACTCCCCCTCCACCGTCCAAACCATTCCCGCTTCCATACTCTGTCAACTTTGAAGGTAAGCAGATACTTCAGTCTCTTGTGTCTTGGTGTGATGACAATACAACCTTAATCCGATGGCTTTCTCAGCTAAATTCAAATATTTTATGATGAAATGAGAAAACATGTGTTACCTGTTGTAAATTTTGATCATGCTGTCAAGTTCATCAGATACAGGCCTGTTTTGTTGGTATCTTCCCATAAGACAGACCTCCCAAAAGACAATGACCGCTTTAAAACAAAAACAAACAGACCTCCCAAAAGACAGGCCGCTTAAAACAACACATTTTATGGTTGGTTGCCTATGCTTTATTAAGCTGCACCCTTGATAATAATGGTATGTGCCCAGATAAAAAAGAAAACATTAGGTATTAACTATAGTTTTATCAATTCAAGTAATGAATTATGATTTTTAAATTAAGACATATTGCATCAACTTATATGTACATCAACATACGGTTCTCCAGTTATTTGCAAAAACTAATTAATCAACAACTGTTATAAAAACGTCCTATTCTCCATTTATTTATACTTGTATCATACTTAAATAAATACATTAATTTTGTAAGAGGTTCAAATGTGGTTCAGAGAAATTCATGTAGTGCTATTGATGATAATATTGTTATGAATAAATACACTATCAATACTGACTTTTCTTTAGCTTTTGACTTAATTTCCTATGACTTACTTTCCTCCCCAAATCTATGACTTTTTTTCCATGACTTTTTTCCTACAACCTCTAGAAGTACCTGGGGCACACCTTTCTGGGATGGGACATACTCTGCTCTTCTTAGGCCAGCCATATCGAAATAAGACAATATTGTAACCATGCACATATATATATATTATAACAAAGATATAACGCAGGAGATAGGAGTGTGTTGTTACCATACTCTGTAGTGACTCTGGATCTGGTCATTAATTAAATAGGGGTGGACAGCTTGGCTCAGCTAATTAGTGTACTCATTGAGTCTGTCTTATGGGAGGTCTGCCTTTTGGGAGGTCTGGCTTTTAAAAGTGAACCGTTTTGTTCACTGCTTCTGTGACTTAACTAGTGTTATTTCCTCCTAAAACTTCCACAGCTTATAACAACATTTCTGGTTGACTGCACACACTTCAGCATACTGATTACCCTAGTCTGTAATGGTTTAATCCATTAATCAGTACTGAATTAGTGAATACAAGCAATCACTTAGTAATAAATTATATATTTTATTTTATAAGGCAGAGTTATTAACACAAATACATATCTTTTCTAGTTACATATAACAGTCTATGTAGAACATATATATAGAACTTATGTCCTATAGGTCCAAGATTTCACCTGCACATTTGACAGTCATACCCCTGTCACCCTGTTACACTCTGCTACATATTACTTTATACTTGCAAATCAGAATTGAAAGAAATTGTTTGGCTTGTTGGCCCCTTTTAAGCAATAAATATAAAATTTCAAAACTCATTAGCCATGTTATATTATAAAACTACATATTTTAATATACATATAAATTAAATGTACATTAACCTTGCATAATTTATGTTTTGTATATTCAGAATACTATGAATGTAACCAACAACATTTCAAGATAAAACAAGAACAATTTTTTTTCTTTTTTGCCTACATGAAATATGCAGGAATTTATATCATATATATTTCAGATTTATTAACTTACTGCTCTCTTCTCAACTAAAATCTCTACTCTGCTAAGTCAGGTGATGTATCGGCCCGATGTATCATTATCTGTTGTTTCAGTTCAGTGCACTTCCTGGGCTATCCTATTACCTAAAAAGGGTGATGAGGAGTTGTTGTTTTAACAATGTGTGGTGGTATTGGGATGTGGAAGTTTTGGGATATAACCGTTTTATAGTAGATGGCATGGTAAGTTATGTAATAGCTCTATCAAAGAAGGCTGATGTTATTGCTGGGTTTGGAAACACTGTTCCTTGTAGTTGTAGATTAGGGACTTTACTAGACCAACGCTTAGTCTCTGAAAATATATAATTTTAATTGTAACAAATAAACCCATTTTAAATTGAAAAGGAGCCCCAGGGAGACCAGAGATTCAGAACCACGGCAAATCTAGACTTGCTTCATTTAGGGCTTTAACATTGCAGGGAGGGCTGGGCTGTAGGGAAAATAATATGGTTCAGTTACTGTGAGACTAGGGAATTTACTTGTACAGCTGGTGCCAGGCGGGGTCAACACAAATAGACAAACATAATACATAATCATATTCCATCCATGAGAAGATAATTTCTTATTCCATTTTTTCTCTCTTTATCTTGCAACCAAGCATTGTGGACATATTCGTCTCTTGAATCCAAAGGATCTACCACAATCAACAAGCAAAGTTCATTTCACTGTTATTGAATCATTTTTGTTTTAAGGTCACAGAGCTGATATGTGCGTTCATTCTCTTCTCCAGACACCAGTGTGTACCAGGCCCCAGGTGTGTTTGCCCAGCAGATAGGATCGTTTGAGGTGGCAGATGTAGGGGGCACACATGGCCATGTGTTGAGGCAGATGACTCGACAGAAACCTGTAGCCTGGTGTCCTGCTGACTCTATAGGCATGGGGTTCACCATCCTTGGCAGCCCCCAATGGTAAGTCACATGGTAGAGATGTCAGTAGCCTGGTGTCCAGCTGACTCTATAGGCATGGGGTTCACCATCCTTGGCAGCCCCCAATGGTAAGTCACATGGTAGAGATGTCAGTAGCCTGGTGTCCAGCTGACTCTATAGGCATGGTAGGTTCACCATCCTATAGGCATGGGGTTCACCATCCTCCCTCAATGGTAAGTCACATGGTAGAGATGTCAGTATTGGAAGAGATGTCAGTAGCCTGGTGTCCAGCTGACTCTATAGGCATGGGGTTCACCATCCTTGGCAGCCCCCAATGGTAAGTCACATGGTAGAGATGTCAGTAGCCTGGTGTCCAGCTGACTCTATAGGCATGGGGTTCACCATCCCTGGCATAGGCATGGGAGATGTCAGTAGCCTGGTGTCCAGCTGACTCTATAGGCAGCCCTTCAATGGTAAGCCCCAATGGTAAGTAACATTGTAGAGATGTCAGTATCCTGGTGTCCAGCCTCTATAGGCATGTTCAGCATCCCTGGCAGCCCCAATGGTACTCTATAGGCTCTGGCTTGGGGTTCACCATCCTTGGCAGCCCCCAATGGTAGGTCTCATGGTATTATTCATCCCCGTTAATCATCATCATCCATCCATCCATCATGAAGCCATTTATTTTCATTCTATTGTTGTTGTTACAGGAAGGACATCTATGTACAAGCAGACATCCAGGCCCCAAACAACAGTAATGTCAGTTCCATCTTCATAGCAGCACGTGTCAGTCAGGAAGGGTGTCAGTCTAACACGGCCAAAGGAGTCTTCCTGTCAATCAACCCTCAAGAGAAGGAGTATATCCTGTCAAGCTCTATCAGTAAGTTGCTGTAACCTAGTTCAGATAGACTGTGTGGATCCAAGCAGAATTTGAGAACATCCAGATTGTTGTTGAAATTGTCTGAATAGTCCCTGGGCTAGCAGTGAAGATCCGAGTTGGAATTGGTCTAAAGCAACATGCTGGTCATTAGTGTTGTTCCGATTAATTGAAATAATCGAAGATTGGTCGCAGTGACCAAACGACCAAGCAATCGATCACATTTTCTCATAATCGAACATAAACGATTTTGGAACTACTGTTTTAGTCTTTGAAATACTTGACAAAGGAACATATCTTAGAAGTTGTCAGGGCCTGGAAACGTGTTTATTTCTTAGAAAACTCACTCCACTAACTGAAAAGTCATGACTGAATATTTCTCTAAGACTCCAGGAAGTTTATGTTCATGATATGTTAGTCATCACTTTAATGTAGCAGGGTGCATCATGTTATACTTTTCTGCAGTAACAACCTGGATAGGAAAATCGATTTTTTTCGATGATTGTTCGTTGGTAATGAAGCAATAATCAATTGTGAGATTTCAACCAATTTCCAACACTACTGGTCATAAAAGGCGACTAACGGGATACAAACATTACTTGGGTCTTTGGTTAGTGACCACATCAACCTAGGTGAACCCTCCACCCTGCAGTGTGTCAACGCTGTTTAGTACTGTTAGTATTTACACTTAATTAGGGTCATATTTTCAAATGTGATTCAATGTGATATTGCCATGGCTGAGCTCATTGATAGTGATATTTGTGTATGTTCCTCCTCAGCTGTTCTTGGCATTTTGACTCAAGGAAAACTTGAAAACCTTAACAAAGACTGGAATACAGTGTCTCTCCTGGCTATGGTATGTATTTCTAGTCTGCTGGTTTTAGTAGGTTCAGTATTTTGATATTATCACAGTAGGATATGTACCTCTGTGAGGCCTGTATGTATGGCCTGTTGCAGTTGAAAAAATGTCTTAACCTACTGATAACAATAATGAATATGTGTGTAACAGGGTAACAGTGCAGAGAGATATGTTCATTCAACCTTGTGTTGTGTTACAGTGTAACAGTGCAGTGAGATCTCTGTTCACTCACCCTTTGTCAGTGTGTTACAGTGAGATCTCTGTTCACTCACCCTGTGTGTTACAGTGTAGTGCAGAGATCTCTGTTCACTCACCCTTGTTTCAACAGTGTTTAAAGTGTAACAGTGCAGTGAGTTCTGTTCACTCACCCTTGTGTTGTGTTACAGTGTAACAGTGCAGTGAGATCTCTGTTCACTCACCCTTGTGTCTGTGTGTTACAGTGTAACAGTGCAGTGAGATCTCTGTTCACTCACCCTTGTGTCAGTGTGTAACAGTGCAGTGAGATCTCTGTCTCCTGTCACTCACCCTTGTGTGTGTAACAGGGTAACAGTGTGTAACAGTGTAACAGTGCAGTGAGATCTCTGTTCACTCACCCTTGTGTCTGTGTGTAACAGGGTAACAGTGCAGTGCAGAGATTTGTCTGTAACAGTTGTAACAGTGCAGTGAGATCTCTGTTCAACCTTGTGTTGTTAAAGTGTAACAGTGCAGTGAGATTCTGTTCTCTTGTGTGTAACAGTGCAGTGGGATCTCTGTTCACTCACACTCACCAGTGAGATCTCTGTTCACTCACCCTTGTGTCTGTGTGTAACAGGGTAACAGTGCAGTGAGATCTCTGTTCACTCTCTGTTCACTCACCTTGTGTCAGTGTGTAACAGGGGTAACAGTGCAGTGAGATCTCTGTTCACTCACAGTGCAGTGTAACAGTGCAGTGAGAGATCTGTTCACTCACCCTTGTGTTGTGTGTAACAGTGTAACAGTGCAGTGAGATCTCTGTTCACTCACCCTTGTGTCTGTGTGTAACAGTGTAACAGTGCAGTGAGATCTCTGTTCACTCACCCTTGTGTCAGTGTGTAACAGGGTAACAGTGCAGTGAGATCTCTGTTCACTCACCCTTGTGTCAGTGTGTAACAGTGTAACAGTGCAGTGAGATCTCTGTTCACTCACCAGTGTAACAGTGCAGTGAGATCTCTGTTCACTCACCCTTGTGTCTGTGTGTAACAGTGTAACAGTGCAGTGAGATCTCTGTTCACTCACCCTTGTGTTTGTGTGTAACAGTGTAACAGTGCAGTGAGATCTCTGTTCACTCACCCTTGTGTCAGTGTGTAACAGGGTAACAGTGCAGTGAGATCTCTGTTCACTCACCCTTGTGTCAGTGTGTGTAACAGGGTAACAGTGCAGTGGGTTCACTCATTGTGTCTGTGTGTAACAGGGTAACAGTGCAGTGGGATCTCTGAATGGGGAGTTGATCTTCAACTACACCACCTTGCCAACCTCAGTGAAGTCTGGATTTGTTGCCATGGGAACAGGATCTCTAGACTATGGGGACTTTGATAATGTGAAGATTGCCAGTGCCAGAGATGGGCTACACTACATGAAGAACAGGAAACAAAATTTAAGATAACCAGTATTATGGATGTTTTAAGTCAACTATAACATAATTGTATTTTGATGTTTTATATTGTTAAGAATGACTGTGATGTTGAAGTCATAATAATTACTTGTAAATTATCACCATACATTCCACATATTTGTTTTGCATGAGAATTTATCACCAATTGCTCATAGACGTCTTCCAGGAAGCCAAGATATTCATCTTGGCAAGTTTTGTACATATGTTTGCAAATATTTTTCTAAAATGATGAAAAGTATATGTATATACTGAAAACTCAGTATACACCAGTCACAACCTGAAACCACGTACATGTATACTGAAAGTCATACATGTATTTGTAGCTATACTTAACTTGGACTTACAGTTTATGGTCATTGACTGTATGTTGCTAAAATCACCAAGCAGTCATCACACAATTGCCCCTTACAAAATGATAGAACCATGAAAACGGTCCTCACTTCCCTAGTCACAGGATGAAGCCCTGACATGCTGTATAGTCCTAATAAAGTACTTTGTAACCTACAGCATCATGATTATCTAATAATGGAAAAATCTTTGTATTCTTAATTTAAATTTGAAAATCAAAATTAACATTCTTGCTGCCTCAGTAGTACCTCAGCTACCTCATACAATTTCTCTTTGACATATGGATGTGTGAATGGGAAGAGGAACATTTAATACCTGAATTGTCATGTATAAGGTGAGTGAGTTTAGTTTTGCGCCGCTTTTAGCAATGTTACCGCAATATCACGGCAGAGTGACACCAGAAATGGGCTTCACACATTGTGCCCATGTGGGGAATACTACCTGTGTCTTCAGCGTGACGAGCGAACGCTTTAACCACTAGGTTACCCCAGCGCCCCTCAATTACAAAATGGTACATTGTAGGACTGGCTATTGATGTCGATCATAGAGATCAATGATCATTAATTGAAAATCCAGTGATTATCATTCAATATCGGAGAAGTAACTTCGAGTGAAAATGTCCCCAAAATCTGAAATTTTCACATCAGTGGTAAGTGGTGACATATTTCAACTTTGATTACTAACAAAACACCTTCCTGAACATAATTTAGACCAAGCCCTATGTTTTAAAGCTCCAACTTTGTGTATAGTTGGAGTGAATTAAAATGTTATTTCATCACAATTAAGTTTATGTACGATATTATCAATGACACAATATTCATATCAATAATCATTAATACTTTTCCCATCGACAATATTTCTGATGATTGTTCTTTTTAGCCAGCCCAAGTACATTCTCCTTTCGGGCAGTTGGGTCTAACAGTCTGTTTTAGCCTGGCATGTTAGCACCATTCATGATCTCACACCTGAGCAAATACTCCAAAAAATTAATCATGACATGATCTGTTTTCTAGCTGATAGCAGTATGAACTGAAGAAGAACAATTATTCTTTAATACTGTTTCATTTGTCAGGATCAGGTTAATTATAGGAAGTGTGAAAAATTTCTGTTGGCCTTGGCATTTAAATTGGGGAAAAGTCCAATATTTTGATAGATTTTGTCAGAAGTTAAAATGTTTGGAATTCAGAGAAATTGGCATTGACAAGTTCTTTCCAGTGAAACAATCTAAAACAAGCATTATATCTGAATGTTTTGTTATCAGTGAACTATAGTTGAACTTTACAAAGTGATAACATTAATTATAGACACTATGGTAGCTTAATTTGAATCAGAAGTTGTTGTATATTTAATTCCACTTCTAGAATTTCAAGTGGACTTTGAGCCTGACCTCGTATCAGTTTTTAGGTAAACCCTGGAAAGTAAAGTTAGTTGAGATGTTAAACAAAACAAGAGAAGTGTGACAATGGGCAAGTAAGTAGTGAAATACACAGGAATGGTGTATGTTTCTTGTTTGTATTAGAGAGTTTCATTTGAAAGGTGTCGGGTTATCAAAGGGTATACTGAGGGAAATAATAAATAAGGTAACACAATTTCATTGCGATGTTCTGTTATTAAGTCCTTGTTTTGAAAAATTTGGAGGATAGAGGGATCAGCATGGATATCTGTCTGTCTCTTTTCCATTTCAAAACTATTAAGTGTTACATATTTCTGGATGAAACATCCTGTACAGATCAGTCTGTCCCGTGGTGAAGTGGTGCCTTTAGATGATTTGGGCTATCTATCATTTTTCACTTGTCAATTTTCTTTATGAGGATAAATTTGACTTCACTACAATTGAACATTTTGCCTCGTTTTAGCAGTGCATGAAATAAGCCCCAAACCCAGCAAGACATCAGGGCTGGTAACTTCAAAATGTTACCAGTGCAAAATGGATTTAACCAGACCAAATATGTGACTTATTCTCAGATGTATGGAACATCAAAAAATTTACCAGACCATCGGGCTGGCTCGCTGTAAATTTAGACCGTCCATCAGAAAAATAACCATTCTCGGCCGTGCGGCCGGGCCTTATTTCATACACCGTTTTTAGTGCAGAACACCTACACAATGAATATTTCTGGATGGCTCATGCTGTAGAGATCAGTCAAGTGGTGAAGAGGTGCCTTTTAACAGTTTGTGATTTATGTTTCGTTTATATATTATGTTTCATGATGATAAATTGGACTTCGCCAAAAGCAAATGTAGTACTTGTTTTCGGAGCAAAACTATAAATCCACTGAATATTTCTGGATGAAACTTGCTATACAGATCAGTCTACTGGTGAACTGGTGCCTTTTGAGGATTTGGAATATTGGAACATAATTAACAACATCAATTTTTCTTTACTGAACTGAATCAATAGCAGGGAGCCAAAAATGGGATATAAGGTTTATACACCTATAATGACGTCACTCTATTGTCTCACCAGGTTCTCCTTTTACTGAGGGGGGGCGGTGGGGTAGCCTAATGGTTAAAGCGTTGGCTCGTCACGCCGAAGACCCGGGTTTGAATCCCCACATGGGTACAATATGTGAAGCCCATTTCTGGTGTTCCCCCACCGTAATGTTGCTGGAATATTGCTAAAAGCGGTGTAAAACCAAACTCAGTCAGTCAGTCATTCCTTTTACTGAGTTTCGCAGGCATTCTCCAAGAAATCACAGGTATTTTCTACAGAATGCCGGGGGATTTTCTGAGGAATAGCCCTTGACTTTGAATTATTTTACTTGTACAAGTTTTTAAGATTGATATAACTTTGTGTTGCTTTTACTGAATATGATTGTAAAATATCACATTATTGAAAACTTCAAATATATTGTGCCAATGCCTGGTTTCGACCCTGCAACCCTTCGCTTACTGGCTTGGCGGTTTTATCCACTAGGCTACGAAGGTTCGCTGTTGAGAAAGTGACTGTCAGTATCTCCTGAGACAGGTAGTGTGTGCAGCACACATGCAGGACACGGGTGCAATATCGGCTGCCATTCGCATCTCAGTTGATTTCAACAGTAAGGCCAGACCAGTTTTATTTCTTGTTTTACGGATCTCCCTGTCATATTTTTTCAAGAATAAGAAAAAAAATAAAAATGAATTTTCCCGCTCAAAAAATAAAATCCTAATGTTTTTATTGGCCAAAAATGTAGCCTCCAAAAAAAGGCTTTTTTAGATTGTTTTTTGCCCCATATACACTTCATAAATTGCCAAAAGTAAAATACTTTGAGTATTTAGAAGGAATATTACTTTGACTGGTGATTTAATTTTATTTTTCCGTCCTGCCTTTAGGTTTTCTGAGGACAAAAATCCGTAAAACATGAAATAAAATTGCTCTGGCCTAAATTCCAAATATTAAAATTATATCTAAAATATATTTTTGGTCGGTTCATAAGTTGGATTAAAACACCATTTCCAAACTGCATCTGACAGGGGGTTGTGCCATCTCCTGATCACTCTTGTTTGTTCACAGACTTTCACCAACAGTGCACTGAAAAGCTTGCTGTGAAACCTTGTAATGAATAACGGGACATTTGTACTTACAGGTGCTCCCTTATTTGTTTCCCTCAGTATTATATATATGCTAGTGTATTGTTGAGTGTGTCAGTAATGTTTTATGCTGCTTTAAGCAATATTGCAGCAAATGTAAAGGCAGGAGACAGAAATGGCTTTAAACATTGTCCCCATGTTGGGAATCAAACCTGGGTCTTCGGGGTGAAGAGCAAACACTTTAACCATCGGATACACTACCATCCCTTAATGTATCATTAGCTCCATGGATGTAATATGTTTTCTATCAGATTTTACAGAGGTTCAGATATATTGCAACACTTTGGTTGCTTCTATTTACAAAACTCGGGTTATGATTTACTCTTTACTTAATGTTACAATGTACCATATGTTGGTATTCATGTCCATGAAATACACAGATGTTTCATAGTCTTTTATATCAGAAGCAGACCCCTGATTCTCAGTGAAGTCTTTTCCTTAAGATATAAAGTTTCTGATTTACTGGAACAAATAGTAGAGGTATGGACTTACTGATAAAATTTCTGTGCCCTTTTCCTGCAGATAAAATAGTAGACTTAGGTTCTTACTTATAAAAATATGGTGCCTTTTCCTGCAGACAAGAAACAAAAGACAGCTTTACGATTCATAATTTACAGTACAACCAGAAATTATTGAGAATTTAAGATTGTAATTTTTTTATGTTTTTTTCGCTCATTTCTCGCGTATCAAATGTGAATATTAGCAGATTCAAATACAGGTGAACAGTTAGTATTTTGTCAAGTCACCATGGGCAGCAATGCAGGCTTCAATGCGGCTGGGCATACTACTGATCAAAGAAGTTAGAAAGTCGTGGTCCATGCTGTCCCAAAATTGGACCCCCTCTTCTTTCATTTCAGCAATATTTGTCAGATTTGTCTTATTGACTCTTTCCTTCATTAGTCCCCAACCATTTTCTATTGGATTTAGGTCAGGGCTATAGCTTGGACAATCTACTAATGTCAAATTTTGGTCCGAAACCAGGCCTGTGAATGCTTTGAACGATGTTTTGGATCGTTGTCCTGCTGGAAAATCCAACAATTTCCATAGAACACGTGAGGAGATGGAAGTAAATGTCCCTTGAGAATATCTGTGTACCGCTCACTGTTCATATTCCCTTCAAATACACAGAGGGGGCGTTGCCCCTAACACAGATATGCCACCGCACACGTTAAATTTCGGACTGTACTTTGGGCACTGATACAAAGGTTTTTCAGTTTGTTTGGTCCAGAATTTCAGTGTATTAGGAAACAGCCACAGAACTTTCATATGAGAAAATCACATTGTCCCAGTTAAAATTTCTATGCTGTAAGCACCAGTTCAACCTTCGCTCCTTTTGTTCAGGTTTCATGATCGGTGATGGAATTCCTTGACTTTTCTGCCAACCCATTGCATGCAGCTCAGTTCTAATTGTCTCCTTACAGACAACCACAGTTCCTCTATCAATCATATCCAGCCTAAAGTGACCCGTGAAGGTCCGGGTCTATTAGAATAGCCCTTCAGCAACCCATGCTTGCTCTAAAAGGCGACTATGCTTGCCGTAAAAGGCGACTAACGGGATCGGGTGGTCAGGCTCGCTGACTTGGTTGCCACATGTCATCGGTTCCCCATTGCGCAGATCGATGCTCATGCTGTTGATCACTGGATTGTCTGGTCCAGACTCGATTATTTACAGACCGCCGCCATATAGCTGGAATATTGCTGTGTGCGGCGTAAAACTCAACTCACTCACTCACTCACTCCAGCCTTAAGTTTTCTAAACTCCTTCGTTTGTTTTTAGAAACAAGAATACCAAGCGGCCTCCTGTCACCGACAGTCAATTTTCTGGGCCTACCTGCGCCACCCCGTGCTCAGTGCCATATCCATTTGCAATATTTTTCAAAACACGATAAACAGTAGACAAAAGGGATGTCTGTTCTACTTGAAATCACTTTAGCTGATCTGATGTCCATGTTATAATACTCTAAAATCAACTTCCTCTTCTCTAAATCATCCATACTGAGGATCACTGAAAATGTTGGCTGCTAGCAAGTAAACAAAGGGGGATAACCTTTTCACAAACTAATGAAAAAGGATAAACGGAGTTGTCTCTCTTGAATGAAACCAAGCACTTGATAGCTGGTCAAGGTTGTTTATACTAGAAATCCAATTAAACATATTCCTAAAATTCTCAATAATTTCTGGTCATACTATATATTTATTCACAAATAACAAAGTATCTGTTCAGGTTAGAAAACATAATGAGCTGAACATTAAATGTCAAATGCTAATCTCAAAACCAGCTGTCAAGAATAGGAGAATTTTTAGTTTGCAGTAAAGTATTTATAGTCTTCAAGCTAAGTTTGAATTTTTATCTCACCCAACTGAAAGGTGATCTTAAGTTGTAGCCCATTTGTACAGTGACTAAATATCTCTTTATCAAAGATAACGTTAACTTGGCATGCATGCTTTATTCAATGGTGAAAATGTTTTGTGCATTGCCAAATGTTTTGTGCAGTTTCAAATTGTTATGTTATTTGGTGTGTATAAGGTGATATGGTATATTGTTCAAATCATTAGCTTTTTAACTGACTTGATTTTCACTTGTTACTTCAAGGGAGTTCATGTTTGTTTCATATCACCAAAATTAGAATTTGATACAGACACTAGGTAGAAATTTTGAAATCTTCTCAAAATCCTTAAGGAATGGAAGCCAGGTACTTGATGGGTGAAATAGTCTCATTGTCTTGTACTGGGTTCGTTCAAAACATTGTGGCCATATTTAACATATACAAAATATATGTGGGTTATCAACATCCCCTTTGACCAATTGACCAATGAAACTGAAAATTCACATGCTTTTTCCCATGAACAGATGGCACACCTATTTGTTCAAGATGTTTAAATCTGTTTTTCAAAGTGGCTGCCAAAATTCACATATAAATTTGTTTTGCCTTTATGGCAAATTGTGGCCATTTCTCAAAGTAGGTTTAGAAGGTCATGAAATTTATTATTTGCAGAGTTAGAAGTGGCAGGCAACATATATGCTATTCTGAACTTTGAACTATATTGGACTTTGGGATTTCAGCCATAACGAAAGTTGAAACTTCTAACTCAGCTATTTTACTTCAAAATGTAACAGCTGTAGTTAGTAGAGGAGCTCAATATTCTGTTTGTTGAGGGTGTGTGTTTATTTAACTTTGTTTATTTCCATTGCTAAGATTTTTCTGCTAAAGAAATATGTAATGATGTTAAATTCTCTCAAAGAGCAGTTTTAGATCTGTTAACCTGGAATTCGAGGAATCTTTTGGAAGTTTTTCTTTATGGTTTTTCACTATGAAGACATATTTGTTTAGTGGTAAGGTGTTTTATGAAACAGTCGGAAAAGC